CAAAGTCATAATGAAGCAAGTCTGTATCTCCCAGCTCACTTCGGCTCCTTCTTAATTAGTCATTTGCTTCTATCAAAATTATATCCGTGTACTTTCAGAGACTATGAAATAAGCTAAGCACAATTCTAATACTTCGATCAACAGTCTTGAAGTTTATTACAAAATACATATTTCTCTCCGCTGAATATTGTTTTCCTGATACTGATTTCATAGCTTGCTATGATACATAAACGCCATGGACAGACATGCGCAGTGAGACGTCGTTCATTCTGGAACCCTGCTTTATTTTTTTCGAGATTCCTGTTTGTGTTTTAAAGTAAACATACCCCACAGCATGACGTAGGACTAACTGAAGTTGTTCACAAGTTAATCCTAAACCGAAGGAAAATATAGGGCAACTGCTGTCATGGATTACACGATCAAACCTGTTTTTACCATTCACCAAGTCGATCAAGTTACAATTTAATGTCAGCTTGAGACACAGAATTACTACAGCTCGTAATATGTTTTCGTCAGTTTCCACCACTCTAGTAGAATTATACATATTTAATTATAGAGTTAAATTACAGAAATTTAGATACTTAAATATTTTAGGTACTTCCATAGTATTTCTATTGCCGTACACGTCATATACACTGATGAAATTGTCGAATTGACCTGTAGGCGGTATAAAATAGGCGGTATATCATCGGCGGATCCAGGAATTTTGAAAGTGTGTGTGTGTGTGTGTGTGTGTGTGTGTGTGTGTGTGTGAGGGTATTTGAACCCCCTGAACCCCCCATTGGCTCTGCCAACGCAAAGAAATAATCTTCAATGTGGTCTTAAGTCATTTCTTCAAAGGAGCACCCCCAGCCCCCCACCACCCCGATCAAAGAAGAACGTCGTGCTTGAGAATATTTCGCTCATATGACGACGTGCATTCGTGTGTATGTGTATGTGCGGGCCGTGATGCTAACTACTAGCCCAGACGTTGACTTGCTGCTTTTATAGTGCTGGCCCACTGAGATACCATGCCGCAGTGAAGCAGGAATACCCCACTCAGACACATTATACTGACTCCGAGTCGACCAGTCCTTGTTGTACCCATTAATGCCGAGCACCAGGCAGGGACCAACAAGTACCATATTTTAACGTCTTTTTGGTATGACGCGGTCGGGGATCGAACCCGCGACCTTCCGCTCTCCGGGCGGACGCTCTAACCACTACACCACGGAGGCGGTCACGAGTCGTCCCTGTATATATAGCTGGAATAATGCCGATGCGACGTAAAACCCAACTCAACTCAACAACACTCACCTGTAAAGGAATCACCAACGCTATATAAGTCAATTCTAAAAGAATTTCAGATACCAATTATTCTCTTAAAATCAAATTTAAGGAGTACGTGACACGCAGTTTCTGAATTCGTGCTAAAGTTTAATTCCCTACAACTCAGCGACCATATACGTTCCCCGGAAATATAGGATATAATAGAGACCCCGTTCCGTATCACTGCCAATACACGCTCGCGTGACTTTTAATTTTCGAAACTTCCTTAACAAATACACTTGTCCTGGTGCGTACGTGACCAAACTCAGGTATATTTTCAACAAAAGTTCAGTTTCTATGTCGAAAGAAATGGGTATTCTTGGAATGGAACCTGTGAAGGTTTAGAATATTGATCTTCAGTAACCCATACTTGTCGTAAGAGGCGACTAACGGGATCGGGTCGTCAGGTTCGCTGACTTGGTTGACACATGTCATCGGTTCCCAATTGTGCAGATCGATGCTCATGCTGTTGATCACTGGATTGTCTGGTCCAGACTTGATTATTTACAGACCGCCGCCATATAGCTGGAATATTGCTGAGTGCGGCGTAAAACTCTTGGAATGGTCTAAAACATACATGTTTGGTGTTTAACTCAGCCCCCAGCGATATTACAGCTATACGACGGCGTTCTGTAAATAATCGAAATTATATGTGACATGAAATATGTCAATTTCTTTCTGACCTCTTGTTTTTCTTTTCTTTTTTCTTTATGTTTAAACCGCACTCGGCAATTTCAAGCCATGTGAAGGCAGTCTGTAAATAATGGAGTCGGGACCAGACAATCCAGTGACTGCCATCATGATCTACGCAATCGGGATACGATGACATGTGTCAACCAAGTGCGCGAGCCTGACCACCCGACCCACTGAGAGATGCATTGCTAGATAATTCTGAAAATATACAATATACAAGTATATATAATATTTATACAACTCAGGTGGAATTACTTTCGGTCTGCCAAACTCAGTCTACAACTTGCAAGAACGTTTGACTTGATAAACTTGAGACTGAGCAAGTCATTATAATACTATTTTACTGCTGACTCGGTGGGATAAACAAGTTATTCAAGAAAGCCATACAGCACTATACTACACCATGATAGGGGATATCGTTCCAGCAGACCCCAAACTGATTCCCATCATTTAATGCGTGGCAACAGCTGGTGTTCGTCATTGTTTGATGGCGGCTAACGGTGAAACAAACACGAAATAGTTATTCTGTGGAGATGTATTATTTGATACGGATTTCACAGATGTGTTTCCGGATGTTAAGTTTGTTGTGTTTCAGCGACTAGTTTCGACCAAGTAACGTTTTGATAACGGTTGTAAATTTGGGGCCCAACTTTCAAGTGTTTACCTTTTTTGGCACGTTGGTATATATGTCAAATATATATGTGTGTGTGCGTGTGAGAGAGCGTGTGTATGTGTGCATGAGAGTGTGTGCATGAGAGAATGTGAGCGAAAGAGTGTGTGTGAGAGAGAGACAGTGTGTGTGTGAGTGAGTGTGTGTGTTTGCGTGCGTGCGTTTGTGTAATGACACGTCTAATGATCCATATTAAGTGTTAAGCACAGTGCGAGTGTTGGGTTTTACGCAACTGTTGGGAAAATCCCAGCAATATCACGATGAGGGGCACCAGAAGTTGTCTTCTCACATTGCACCCATATAGGGAATCGAACCCGTGACGAGCGACCGCTTTAACCACAAGGCCATCCGCTTGTCCTTTTTAAGAAGTGTATTTCACATCGATGTGCCTCCACTCATTCACACTGTAACAAAGGACAGTCCCATTACAACCCTAGTCATGTGATTTCCGAAAAATATATCGTGGTCGTCAAAAAATATCCCATTGCATAAAGCAAAATGAGTGAGTTGGTTTGGGTTTAACGCCGATTTGAACGATAATTGTGTGATACTCGAATCTGATTGGCTGAGAGCTCATCAAAACCATACTTAAATGGCAGTTTAAGACCGCTAATTAAAGTGACCGATTCACCGCGTATGAATACAACGAACTCGTTGACCCTATTGTTTGTAAACAAACATCTCGGACGTTTTTATCGGCAATTTCTATCTCGGCAGCATCTTTGGTGTTTTTGAAGTAAAAAGCGAATGGTTTGAAGAAGTATTTCTTGACCCTAATCCCAGTGAAGAAACTACGAAGCTGGAAAATCCGTCAGCAGCGCAAAAGCGGCAGTATATTCAAAGCGGGTCCAGATCTACGTGTGATCTACGTCTACAACACACGTCGGCACACACGTCCTAACCTGACCGCTTCCGTCCCGGCCGTAATGCCCAGTCCTTCCACTCCCACTTTCCATGTATCCCAAGCGACTTATTGATCTCCCCAACTGTATTACAATCGACTCGCCCAAATTCAAGCCGTGAACTCGCTAAGTTTAGTCGCCGCTAACTTTATTCACGGAAATAATTGTAACCACCCTACTATTCCCAATTTGGAAAAGACCTGACACGCCGCGTTCGGTTTTTAAATTACATTTAGCGGTCTTAAATCAACGATAAAGGACCGCAAAATTGAAAACAGAGTAGCTTTATCTTCTAATTTAGTCATACCTCGGCGAGTTGTTTTATGAGAGACAAAACCAGAGTGATGCAGGTCTTAGATGCTTATCACTACAGAGACACAAACTTACGATAGTGTCACGTTAGCTGTCCAACGGTACGCATCGTATAACTCGGCGTATCGTATACGTATCGTACGTTACTCTATTTGTCAATGATTTGTTTGTTTGTCGTTTAACGCCACACTCAGCAATATTCCAGCTACATGGCGGCGGCCTGTAAATAATCGAGTCTGGACCACACAGTCTAGTGATCAACAGCATGAACATCGAGCATCGATCTACGCAAATGGGACATGTGCCTCCTACGACAGTTCTAATCCGGATCAGGGGCGGTGGGGTAGCCTAGTGGTTAAAGCGTTGGCTCGTCACGCCGAAGACCCGGGTTCGAATCCCCACATGGGTACAATGTGTGAAGCCCATTTCTGGTGTCCACCGCCGTGATGTTGCTGGAATATTGCTAAAAGCGGCGTAAAACCAAACTCAGTCAGTCAGTCAGTCAGTCTAATCCGGATCATCACGGGTCCCATGAATGAATGAATGAATGAAAGAATGAAGAATGATGGATGAATGAATAAATGAATGAAGTCGGTCAATTCAGTAATTTTTTAAGGTAGTCATCAACCGGTGCACAAAGTTAGAAGACCTACGTACCCTGTTATCCAATACGATACGGAACAATTCCCTTACTCCACGAGAAAACTACGAGTTTAAATACGTAATTATTACTTATGTGTAAAAAATACAGGGACGCTAAATCTTATCAAGATATTGTAAGTGTCCTTGGGATAAGCGTTCGATGACTACCTTGTATTTATGTTCGATAATTGAGTGACTGTCCTGTAATATAGCCTTTTAAAAATGCTTCCGTGAAATTTAGCTCTAACTAAAATAAGGTTTCCATTCAATATCAGTACTTTTGAACAGAAACCCATGATGCTATATAAATATCAGATATGAAATTCGTGATATGCCATTGAGATATACGGATCGTGTGGCAAAGTATTGATTTACTTATATACCGTATGCAACCTAGTCATGGTCACGATCTCCTATTAATACTCTTTCAGTCACTCGAGATCCATTGTGTTATCTCTCTGTTCTAATTTTAGAGGGAATCCCTTGCTGCACGTGATAAAAATAGTTGGAAGACACCCTCGTGACGTCATCTACGCCCATGTTTGGATCGATCACCCACCTCAGGCGAAAAATTGTGAATTTTTTATCAGAGGGCGGCGTCAGCGATTAGTGAAACCGCTAGAGGAAAACTTATACGCCCATTCATTCGTTATTGAATGGAAAACCCGGAACCAATCGAGGCAAAATGGCGAGAGCGGTCTGCGGATGCACCAATACCAAGCGTGCTCGCGAGCCGTGACCAACTCGGCTCATCAACAAGCGACTTGCGTCTCTTCCTACAGGTGACAAGAGACAAAATAACACAACTCAGGAGAGAGTTAGAACAGCAGGAATTTATTGAGAAGAGTTTGGAGGCTGAACTGAAGGAACGAGAGGAGAAAGAAAAATGTGAAAAGGACGAGAAATTTATAAATGAGTATGTTTACAGTTTTGTCGGCAAAGACAAAAGGTGCAGTCATCCACCATTTTCTTACGACCCGGAATTGGTTGACGCAAGGCGTGACAGTGACTGTGTGACTCGAAGCGGGAAGGATGTCCACTCACCTGAACGAACAGTAAATGGGAGTGGAGGAGAAAGGACAAGTGATTCATTTCTGCGAAAGTATCAACAGAGAAAACACATTTCGTGGTCGCATTCAAGGGGGGACAACTCTGTCGTGACTCGAGCACCTGTCCCCGTTCACCACTCGAAAATAATTATCGATTCAGAACCGGATTCGGACTATGGCAAGGTATGGGTGGTCCCGTCACGATCAAAACATGCAGTAACAACGAGATATTCAACAGGTATGTTGCCTGCTACAAATGTAAGTCCTATTATGTTACCTAAACAACCCCCTCCTGTTCCAAGAAAACCAAGCAAACCTCAACCTGCCCCGCGTCTAAGTTTACATCGGAGCAGCTCGTCCGATTTGTCACTGTTGAGCACCTCCGAGACAGAGACCAGTCCCCAGTTTAACTCTCTTCCACTTACCACAGTGAATACCAACACAATGGCCGAATATTCGACGGACAATGGTCTACCTGGCTCGACAGAGAACACTGGTCAAAATGATGTGGCTGACAACGCATCAAATACAAACAGCGAGGAGGGGTGTGCCGAACGTTTGTCGAGTAAACACTCTACAGGACCTGAATACACAAACAGCAAGTTGGTTATCAGAGAGACACAGTGTGACAGTTTACCAGTGCGCCTCAGCACAGGTGAGAGGCCAGGGATTCAGGACCTTTGTGCGTCGAGTTTAGTCAGTGCCGTTAACATAAGCAATTCTTTAACCCATCTGGATCAGGTCATATGCAAGGAAGAAGAAACAACCTGTCAGACGTTAGATGATACAAACATGAAGAAACTGTATCGTACAAAGAGTGACCGAAAACACCTTGATACAGGTGATGGAGCTAAGTTTGATCAGATCGAGGGAACGTATCGCAAACTTAATGATGATGATACTTATCTGAAACTCAAGGATGAAAGTACTTCTCAGAAAGTGGAGGATGAATATTCAACAGTGTCAATTAAAACTGAGGATTGTGGGGTTGTCAATGTTGCGATGAGGAGTAAGCCCGAGAAAACAAAAACTGAATCAGAATCTGAACAGCCTAAATATCACAGCAGGGCTCCAAGTTATGAGAATTGGACAATTCATCGTTGTCTTACGAGACAAGATGATTCGAATGACAGTGATGGAAGTGACAATATATATGACAATATCGTGTTTGGGGAGGTTTCTCCTGCGTCAACATTACAGAAACAGCCTTACAAAGGTAGTAAAGATTCAGGATTGTGTGACGACTTGTCAACCAACGAGTCCTCCCCATCGGTGTCGGACAGCGTGAGTGTCACGACGGAGGAAAGTGCTGTAGATGGAGGTGCAGACAGTTCTGCGAAACCTGCAACATCGGACGAGTCCGACGACGGAGACAATGGAGAATGTGTGGATGTACAATCTGATTCCAGCGACGATGATAAAAATGCTGACAACATATGTAAGTAATATATCTTCTATTTACAGATATATCATTAATATTATTTCATGTTAACTGTAATATGAGATTTCCGTGAAAGACACAGATTCTTCCCAGAAAGCCACCTGGTTATTGATACCAGTGACAATGCAGTATGGCATGCTATGGTGTGAATAATGAATGAGGTCCCCAGTTTTATGCTGTTGAAATATATATGTATGCATATGTTTGTATTTTGGCATTTAGTCGAGTATTTTAGCCCCAAAACCTATTGCCATACCTATCACTTATTCATAAACCCCATTTGGTCAATATGAAAATATTAACAAATTTAACGAAATCCTGCTTAAATGGATAAAGGTCTAGATTTACAATGAGATATTCAAGTCACAACCTAAAAACATTGCCCATTTGCATAATTTGTATGTTTTGTATGCAGCCTCAGTGCTATTGTTATCATGGTTATGCTTTCATGGAAATTCTGAGAAAATTGATTCTTTTGTTATCCATGTTAACCGACTTGCCGTAGCCAATCATGGCTACCAAACCATTGTTGTCGACAAGAGTTGAAAACATTCCCATATCACCGCTCTCACACAAGGAAATATTTTATGTACACATTGTGAACCAGTTTCTTTCAAAAGAGTTGATTAAGAACACACTGTGATTTAAAAAATCAATTTTACATCAAGTCATTTGAAAAATGAAAATGAATTATCATGCTGATACCAATCTTCCCACATCAGGCTAAAAGTAATTTAATTAGTATTGGTGATTACATTTTGTGCTGTGCAAATATCTGCTGATAATCAACAGCCATGTGCTTGCTGAACGGGGCGGTCCTCCCACGGGGTAGCAACAAAGATTTGTCCCACTTACAGGTGCAGACACTATGCGCTACACTGGTGCATGGCGCATTACAGATGTGTGGTTTATAGAACAGTGTGGAAGGAGAGAATAAATCTCGGTCACAATCTAACCCTGTTAAGGACAATCTACCCTAGAATAACAGTTATTTTAGGGTAGATAATGTCCCTGACAGGGTTAGACCACTGATATTTGTTCTCTCCTCTAACTCTGCATTCTTACTGACTAACAGAGAGATTGATGCACTAATTGTAGTATGGAGTTTGAGTCCATATACTACAATTAGTGCATCAATCTCTCTGTTAGTCAGTAAGAATGCACTGAAAACCTCCAATGCAAATTTCATGATTCTACTTTTTTCTTTCAAATGCTCAGTGTCTGAAAACAATCTGTTTCAAATTTATCATGTTTATTTTGTTTAAAATTCAGGATAATTGTCAAATTTGCCACAGCAGAAGAAAATCAAATTTTGAAATCCATTTTATGGAGACAAATTTTGAAAATTTAACTTAAATTTGCTCATATGTGGTCATAACAAGATAAGTAGTTTTTAATTATTTTTTTTTTTAAATGTCTTCCGGTCATGCCACCCAACCAACAGGCACAGTCCTTGTTGTTCCAGGTCAGAGCACAAAGGGGAAATAAGTACTACATGCATGAATCATCAACCAGCTCTCACAGAACACTGTAAGGGTCCTTATCATGCTTATAAATCTTCTCAAAACAATTCAAGGCGGAAATCCAATTTATTGCTGTTGATTTATTGTCAAATAGATTTATCCTTATCAATGTCAGGTCTTGTCTATTGGCAACATATTTTATAGATTTTGATGCGAATATGAGGGCTGTTATTAACTTATTGACTGAACTCTATACAGTTACTGCATAGCAGTGGTTTTGTTTGACAACTGGTTTGGGAATGTCTTTTAGTTTTGTAAACTCTTGATAGGATATTTTGTGATGTTATTACCAAATTTGAATAAGACTCTTGGAGTTGGAAGGTTTGGATGACAGTCGGTGTGGTAGAAAATGAACAGATCTTAAACCTAAAGAAATATTACTTGGACTTCAGACAAGTAGCTTGTTTCACAAGATGTTTATTCTGTGAAATGGTCTGGCTGGATTTTACATACACTCGGTTGTCACATATAGCCTTTGTGCACCAATTCAGTGTGGGCAGCTGAAATACCATCTGTTATTTATGGGTCATCTGTTTTTGAAATTATTGAATCTAGGTACTTGAGAATTGCTGCTGTAGTGTTTGAATCTAGGCCCCCTTTCAGTGTTCATGAATGGTGTTTCAAAGTCACAGGACATTGGGTCCTGTAAGTTTCAGATGTCTGTCTGACCCATTGAAAATTCACAGGAACCATGGAATAAACTTAAACACACATTTCAGATTTAATATTTCTTATAATTGACATTGAAATTATCAACAAACATAAGATTTATAAACAGCAAACAAGTGTCACATGTCACATATAACAACTTCAGTCAAAATCATTGTGAAATATACAGTCAGACACTGGGGCCAGCGGGTTGTAGACTTCTGTCTGACCGTTGGCGAATCTGCCGGATTTGTCAGAGGGTCAGACGCTATTCGTGAACACTGCCCTTTACTTGCTTGAACATGAACATGTTTGAACAGTAAAACTAGGGTTATGAAAGGGCTCCTTGCATTACAGGCTTTGTTTTGAAATCTGGAATGCACTGCGTGACTTATAGCATGTTAGTAGGTTACAAGGACATATATTATCTGGGATTCTGTAAACGTGTTAGTTACTGTGGTTACTGTCATGCTAAATTAGTATTGCCTCAGTTGGTAGAAAAACATTTGAGCTTACAAGCTTAAAGTTAAAGTTGGTTCTTAGTATCTGTTTTAGACCAATGCTTAGTCTCTGAATCTATATAATTTTGATTGAAACAAATCCTTAAATTGAAATTGAAAAGGAGTGCCAGTGAGATAGTAGATTCAGAACCTGAAGAAATTTAGAGTTGCTTCACTTGGGGCTTGAGTATTGCAGAAATAGCTGGAAGAAGGGAATGTTATGCAGTTCTGGGTCTGAGGGTTGGATTATTGCATGAATCGATGCTCACTGGATTGTCTGGTCCAGACTTCATTATTACTGATCGCTGCCATATAGCTTGGCAGATGGAAAATAATCCAGTTCTGGAACTGTCAGACAGACTATGGGCATATTTATTTCAAGGTCTGTATAACAGACCCAATCAGTTTTAGTAAATTGTAGCGTTATTATGTAGACTGCTTTAGCTGATCTACTTACAACTCAATTTTAAGAGACTCCGACTTATTAGTGGCAGAAGTAGCTGTGATCTGTCTGGGGACATGGACTGACATGATAGATTACTACGTCTGTGGTCGGGACATGTATTGACATGATAGAGTACGGGACATGGACTTCTGTGCATGGAGTATGTAGGTGCTCCGTGACAGTGATGGATGCAGGGAGACCATAGTGTATTGTCTGCTCCCGGATTTATGGACACTCCAGGCACCTTCGACCTTACATCAGTACATGTCATAAGAACGTTTTTCCAGGAGTCAACGACCCAGGCTCTAGTCTGTCTCACAGTCCCTGAACCACATTATTTTCCCTTAGCCTAGCCCTCTCTGCAGTGCTAAAGCCCTAAGTGGAGCAAGTCTAGATTTCCTCAGGTTCTGAATCTCCCAACATACTGGGGCTCATTTTCCATTGAAATGGGTATATTTGTTCCTATCAAAGTTATTATATTCAGGGACTGAATCACTGGTCTGCCTTGGGGTCCTTTTCAATTTAAATGGGTTTGTTTGTTACTATAAAAATTATACATATTCAGAGACTAAGCTTTAGTCCACCTAGGTTCTTGCAATACGATAAAATATTGAACGTTCCATGGCATTGTTTGAGTATATATGCATGACAATTGCTTAAAAGATTTCTGTCAATTATGTTTCAGTGTTTAAATATCAAACAATGATATTTGTAATGATAATATTTATGTATAAAACCTGGCCATATTAAGCACAGGATGCTGTTTTACAAAACAACCTTAGCGCTAAGACTACCATAAGTCTATGTTAAGGTTTAGGAGTTACGGTCACCTTAGCTCTAAGACTACCATAAGTCTATGTTACGGTTTAGGAGTTACGGTCACCTTAGCGCTAAGACTACCATAAGTCTATGTTAAGGTTTAGGAGTTACGGTCACCTTAGCGCTAAGACTACCATAAGTCTATGTTACGGTTTAGGAGTTACGGTCACCTTAGCGCTAAGACTACCATAAGTCTATGTTAAGGTTTAGGAGTTACGGTCACCTTAGCGCTAAGACTACCATAAGTCTATGTTTAGGTTTAGGAGTTACGGTTACCTTAGCGCTAAGACTACCATAAGTCTATGTTAAGGTTTAGGAGTTACGGTCACCTTAGCGCTAAGACTACCATAAGTCTATGTTACGGTTTAGGAGAACGGTTACCTTAGCGCTAAGACTACCATAAGTCTATGTTTAGGTTTAGGAGTTACGGTTACATTAGCGCTAAGATCGCTTTGTACAATGACACTGTGGTATTTTTAATATCATAAACATAATATTGATAAACCTTAAGGATAACAACTCCTTTAATTTCATGAGTAAGACAATTCGGGACAGATTCTTGTACTGTTGTCATCCCTGCTTGACAATGGTTCAAGAATCTGAATCTAAACGTCTCACTCACAAAATTAAAGAAGTTGTTTTCCATAAAGTTTGTCAATCACTCAATTTCGTACTTTCCAACTTTTAAAATGTCGCTCAAAAACGTTATCCTAGGCATGTTTACTTGTCTTTAATGGCTCATGGCCCAATGCTTGTGATGCTTAGCAGGTAGCAGGTTATTTTAAAACATAGGGAATAGTACCAAAATGTGTTCGTTATATGTTTCCAGAATGAAGTTTGGGGTATGTCTCAAAACTAAAGGAACTGAATTTTGAAAAATTTGTCTTTTGAACCAGCGCCTTATTGATCATGTTGAAACTAATGAAAGACCTCAATAAATTTAAGCATTTTTTGAAGTATATATTGATAGATGATAAATGCAAAATGTTATATGCATAGGTATGAAATAAACAATGCCTTAAGTAAACTATTGTTAAACTGATATTCAGGGTCAAAATGGCT